GTGGGCTCCAGGGAAGCCATCCACGCCCACAGGGAAGTGGACTTTTTCGCTTCCACTTGGGCCAGACTTCTTGGTATTCGAGTTTCTCCACACAGTTTGACCACTCTGCTGAAACTCTGAGAAGTCCATTCTGAGTCTCTGGGTGACCAGGGACAGGCCAGTCAGGCCACTCGAGTGCCTCATCCACTTTGACTCCCCTGGACTAGGGGGCGGGATGAAGTGGAGGCCAGGGATCAGCCACCACATTTTAAAGGAGAGGAGGGAGAAGTCTTTGCAATTGTAAAACTATCCATAGCATAAAATGATCATCATCGCATAGAATTGCTGATGACAATTGCCACAATTTAGTATGTAAATTGTGTACTACAATCTAGTACCCTTAGTATGCGCCAGACCTATACAAGCACTCCTTGGGTCTCACGCAGMGTCGTTCTTTTAACTTCCCCCTGGTTGTCACTAAGGGAACTGAAACTCAGGAGGGCCGTTGGATTTGTCCCACTCAGGGAGGGATTTCCAGCTTCTCCCCTCCTGGCAAAGCCAGGCTCTTTACCGGCGACTTACATGCCTGGGTCCTTACCCCTTAGCAGGTAAGGACTTGTGTCCCAGCCCACCAGGAACCAAACAGTAGCGTGTCTTTCTGTCACTCAGGGCCTGGAGTTCTCCTGAGAACCTTGGGACCCACAAAGGGGAAGTCACGAGGACCCAGAGCCCAGTCTCTCTCCCAGGGCCTCCTGCCACTCTGCTCCTTTTCCGACAGTCTGCCCTGAGCCCTGCCCGGGGCTTCACAGGGTACAGACCGCGAGAGAGAACCCATGGCCACCCCCAGGGGCTCACGGCAAATGGCAAAGGGTTAATAAATACACASAGAAAGGGACAGAAGCACCGTGTGAGCAGAGAGGACTCGCCCAAGCAGAGCCCGTGGCTGAGTTTGGAGTGGGGGGGCGGGGGAGGCGGGCAGAGGTTTCCCAGGCGGATCTGAGCATCGGAGGCATGGGGGAGTCTCATCAGAGATGTGGAAGCCCAGAGCCGGCTTTACCCAAGTCACTTCCTCTCTCTGCCAAGGGGGAGCAACCCCACCTGCCTCTCCACCTCTGGAAGCTGCCATGACACACCACCGAGTGTCCCGCAAGGAATGCAAGAGTGGACAGCCTTGGGCCAGAGCCCCCCCCCCCCCCCCGGGCAGCATCCACAGGTCCCCCCAGCCTTCCTAGCAACTTCCTGTCAGAGGACCTAGGGCAAGTGACTTCGCCACCAGGATGTCAGTCTCCTCGTCTGTCAACGGGGCCTAGAGAACAGTTCCTGCTCCMTGGGGTCGACCTGATGGTGGAGGGTTCTTCAGGGTGTGGAAGGACGGCACACCGCAGGCTCCATCAGAGATCGTTTGTATCATAGGGTCCGTCCCGGATGCCAACCAAGTAGGGCAGAGGCACCCAGGGCCCCAACTTGCCCTGAGTGTTTTGTTTGTTTATTTGTTTGTTTGTTTGTTTATACCAGGGATTGAACCCAAGGGC